ACTATGACATCCAGAACACATCTCTTTCCTCATTCCCAGTCTCGGGTCCTAGTTGCAGATGATAATTTAACTCCTTTGAAATAGATAATTGAAATGGAAATATCATGTTGAAATGAAAGCCCATTCCATACAGTTGCCCCTCAAATCGGCACCACCTTTGGGATTGTGATTCACTGCACTTAGGCATGGCACCGTCAAGAGCCAAGCTGCCTTTCTGAGTGGGTGCAGTGGTGCAGTGCTGCCCTGGCCAGACAATCCGTATTTTTGGAGTGTGTTTCATCCAGACTAGCCGCCAGAGTGACCCCGGTCAGACGTAGGGGTCGCCTGGGTGATTACAGAGCTTTACAGGAGAGCTCAGGGGGCCAGAGTGAAAAAGAGCCATCACACTCTCAGAGTGGAGACTGTTATTACAGGAACATAAACACTGGGCCATTTTGAGAGCACCTGGAATACTTTGGTGTCTATCCAGGGTTTCTAGTCTAAAATGACTGCCGCTGTTTCAAGATAATATTGTTAAGACTTAATTGCTCTTTAAAAAATTTGGTTAAAAGCCTCCATGGCTTATTCTGGTCTTCATAAGTAGCATTATGACATCTCAATTAGCTGGTAGTCAAGTTCAGGCAATCAGACTATCAGTTGCGTACAGCTCGCCCCAACCGCAGTGTGGATAATTCGGAGATAACAAGAGTCTAGAAAATGAGAAAAGAGGAGTTTATGAGTTGAGGCCTTGACATGCCATGGTCTCCACACTTTCAAAGGTTCAGTCTGGATACGAACCCCGGTCTGCAGTGAGCAGAATTGGGAAGCATATAAGCCTCTTAGCCTAGCTGTCAAGTGTAGCGGCACTGATGTCTCAAAGTAGGGCTGATAAAAGTGTGAAGATCGATCCAATCCAGTGCACTGGAGGTGGAACCTGCCCCCGCATTACTCCACACACCTCTCAGGCATACTATCAATGTCTCCTGGGGTATGAGTTAACTTTGGAAACATTCTAACAACAATACCTGTGCCGGCACTATGCACCCAACGAACATCTAACTGCTAGAAGTCGTGAAAGTGTTGTGATAAAGAAGAGCTTTCTGTACCAATTACTTAAAGCAGAAAGGACGACTACAGCCAGAACTGGGATCACCAAGCATTTCACTGAGGTTACTGTGGGTCACATGAAAATACCCCCAAATAAATACACTCTTTCTGTCTGAAGCAGAATCATTCGGGTATACGGCCCCAACTTCTCCGTTTTTTGTGTGTTTTCAATAACATCAACTTCTTCACGGTCCACAACTTTATTTACCATGCTCTCTGTTCCATTTTTCCAGAGCAAGCCCGGACCGTGGGGAAAAGCAAACAAACAGATCAAGAAAAAAACAGCACCGTTTTAATCTGCACAGAGCGAGGGAGAGAGACAGTTTCGACAAGAAAACATACCCCTGGACTCCAGCATGTAGGCACGTTGCCACGAAGCCCGACTAGTGAGTGACTGAACTACTACACTACAGCCGAATCCACAGCACTCAATTTAACCCTCTGAAGCTGATTTGCACCAGATTGAGTTAGAGAAAAGACGTTAGCACCATACTCAGCTCCAATAAGAGAGAAAAGAAGAGAAAGCACCAGCCTTCACAGTGGCAAAGCCCCCAAAACAAAAAAGCCCCTCCCCCCGTTATGTCCCAGAGATCACATCACAGGGTTCCTGAACAGCACTTTACATACATACAAAACAAGTAGAGAAAAGAACATCTGAATCATATAAAACCCCCATGTAACATGTCTTTGTTCCAATTATACCAGTTCTTAAGAAGCCATAGGTACTGCTGGGAAATAGTTACCTCATTGTTTTCTCTGATAGCTTTTTTGCGATAAGTAATGATTACATGGCTAATATGCTGTTCAAACAAAGCTAATGTACATATATGGGCCCTGTAACACAAAATGAATGTGTCATTCACATAGGAGACACAGGGTCAATATTGACAAATAATGCTTGCACATCTTTCGGCTCTTGGATGGGTAAGCTAAGGTCAAAGGCAGAAGGAAGTGATAAAAACAACAGGAAATGAGCCAGACAGAATTTACACATATTGTGTTGCCATATGCATCCCAAAAATATTTCACACTGTAAGACATCACAACAAATACCAAGGTGACCGGTGTAAAAAAAAACATATTTATATCAATAGCATTTATGCGTTTACTAATGGGGTGACTGTTAACCAAATAAAAATGAGTTTTGGTTAAGCTGGTTTGGTAGAGACCTGTATGAAAGTATTTTTATATAATATGCACCTATAAGACCTTGTTTGGACTGTGTGTGTACAAGACCGACAGCTTTCCTTGCACAAATACAAGGAGGGGAATCAACAATTATTGACAGTAATATTGACAGCACAGTGAGGTAATGCTATGTGAGGTCTGAAATGTTAATTTATGGTCCAGTTCAAGGAAAGGATATTTCAGTTGCACTGAAGATAAACGTGGCCATGACTATGAATTAAGACTGTTCTGTCCTTCCGTGCCTTGGTTCCCATAATACACAGTTAAGCCATTAATCTATGAAGTACTTTCTCGCCAAACTCTCATTAGACACGCTCAAATAAGTACCAACATTAGAGCCACCTCAAAAAGGTCAAAAAGTAATCGATTTTGATACTATCATATCAAATAATTCATTTATTTCATATGCTCAAAAGAGTATTAATCTTTCATATCTGAGTGTGCTTCTTTCACATAATGAATAAACTTCAAGCTCTTATCATATTAATAACGTCTCAAATATAACTGTTCCAAACAGCTTTTTATCTCAGGTCCCATATTGCTGTGAAATAGATGAGATCTCATTGACTTTCATATAGCTGACCACGCGGAAATACAAGAGCAAGTCAAGGGGTTTTTCAATCCTTTGGCACTAAAGGTAGTAATGACATAGGAAAGGTAGTGATGACATAGGGATAGAAGAAGTGGTGTGATGCTGCACTGTACCTAAAGGTAATACATTCTACTAAGGACTGGGATGCTAATGCTATCAGCTGCTGGGTGCTCAGCCATCTCATATGCATGTGGGTGCACTTCCTCATCTCTCGAAACAATATGCAGGGCTAGGGAGCTGTGAAGAGTGGTCGAATAAACGCGAGGACGGATTTATTGTGGTATGAATACCTAAAGAGTATAAATCAATACAAGTGCCTCCTGCCGTTAGCAAGAGTTACAGTAGCTGCATATTGCATTTTGTATCTTGCAGGCTTTTTGGACACAGGTGTTTCCAACAATACTCCCAAGATCTTGCTTGATTATACTGTTCGACGAAACCAGGTTGATTTAATAGTCATTCGTATTTGATGGCAATGCGATTGAGATGTAGAAATCTCTGGAATAGTTTAGAAGCGGGCTGCTTTCATAGACTGTCTCAAATTCATATCTTGTGCATGTAGCAATGCAACGTCATTTCAGACTATTTTCTTTTTTACATGGCAGAAGATTTTATATATTTGTCTTGTTTCTCTCTCAGACAACTAAAATATGCCTTTCTATATACTGATAAGGAGTCTGTTCTACATTAAAACCCCAATACATCTCCCAATACTACATATACAAGTAGCCCAACAATATACAGTGCATTCTGAAAGTATTCAGACCCTTTGACTTTTTCCACACTTATTCTTTTTTTCCCCTCATCAATCTACACACAATACCCCATAATGACAAAGCAAAAACAGGTTTTTAGAAATGTTTGCAAATGTATTACAAATAAAAAACGGAAATATCACGTTTACATAAGTATTCAGACCCTTTACTCAGTACTTTGTTGAAGCACCTTTGGCAGCGATTACAGCCTCAAATCTTCTCGGGTATGACGCTACAAGCTTGGCACACCTGTATTCAGAGTTCAATCTTGGTTTCATCAGACCAGAGAATCTTGTTTCTCATGATCTGAGAGTCCTTTAGGTGCCTTTTGGCAAACTCCAAGTGGGCTGTCATGTGCCTTTTACTGAGGATTGGCTTCCATCTGGCCACTCTACCATAAAGGCCTGATTAGTGGAGTGCTTCAGAGATGGTTGTCCTTCTGGAAGGTTATCCCATCTCCACAGAGGAACTCTGGAGCTCTGTCAGAGTGACCATCAGGTTCTTGGTCACCTGCCTGACCAAGGCCCTTCTCCCCCGATTGGCCGGGCGGCCAGCTCTAGGAAGAGTCTTGGTGATTCCAAACTTCTTCCATTTAAGAATGATGGAGGCCACTGTGTTCTTGGGGACATTCAATGCTGCAGAAATGTTTTGGTACCCTTCCCCAGATCTGTGCCTCGACACAATCCTGTCTCGGAGCTCTACGGACAATTCCTTCAACCTCATGGCTTGGTTTTTGCTCTGACATGCACTGTCAACTGTGAGACTTTATATAGACAGGTGTGTGCCTTTCCAAATCATGTCCAAACAATTGAATTTACCACAGGTGGACTCCAATCAAGTTGTAGAAACATCTCAAGGATGATTAATGGAAACAGGATGCACCTGAGCTCAATTTTGAGTCTCATAGCAAAAGGTCTGAATCCTTATGTAAATAAGGTATCTGTTTTTTATTTGTAATACATTTGCACACATTTCTAAAAACCTGTTTTTGCCCTGTCATTATGGGGTATTGTGTGTAGATTGATGAGGAAATTGTTTTATTTAATCAATTTTAGAATAAGGCTGTAATGTAACAAAATGTTGAAAAAGTCAAGGGGTCTGAATACTTTCTGAATGCACTGTACAGTAGCACTTCTGGGAACCTTTCCTAACAGTCTTAAGTATCTTTCTTACTCCTTTCAATCTCTCTCATAATGACATTTTATGTACAATATTGGTATACAGAACATAAATTAGTACACACATTCTTTTGCCTATTCACAATTGACCTTCAGCAAACCCGAAGCAAATTTAAAAAAAAAAAAAAAAAAAATCAGAGGACAATACAACAACGCAATAAAAAGCTTAGAAACAATGTCTTATTATATAACTTTATATACTTTCTGTGCTCCCAAGACTCGTCTGAGTGTAACCTGAAAAAGAAAATGAACTGTTAAAAATCCTCGTCCTCGCCTTTTTATCAATCAATGCGGGTCGGAGGAGTGAAGTCTGTCGAAAAAACAAAAAAGATGGGCACACGATTCCCCGACATCTTGTTCATGTGTAAAGAGAGCACCAATAGTGTCTTGGTTCCATGTCTCATCTGTACAAAAGTATAAATATATGCTTTTTTCTCAAATTTTTCACATATCTAGGACGTATAGTGGACAAAAAAGGTTGTTTTTGATCTAAACCCGCCAGTGGTGCAGTATCTGTGCTGGGGTTCTTTGTTTGCTGGCTTGTGTGGACTTCTGATCTGGAGTGTTTGCTTGGTGTTGGGATTGATCGTCTCTGCATAAATAGTACGTTGCACAGTTCTGGGCCACTGGGCCAAAACAACCGTTCTGTCCGACTACAGCAAATCCATTTTGGGTCTGTAATGCAGCAGGAGGGGGGATTTCTGGAATGTAAACAAAACAAATTACAAATAAAGACTAACTGACTGAAAACAATACAGCCGGAAAAATGTCCTTCTAAACACAGAGACAGAGATGGATAGGCTACTACTTTGATTATATCCTTATCATAGACTCTAGTATATAACATCGGGATTTAAAATGACAAGCTCTGATCGTAACATTCACTTCCATTTATCTTGGGGTTTTATGTCACTATAGCACATCATGAGAGAAAAGGTCTCAAAATAGTTCTGGAGAGCAAGCTGTTCTCTCCACCGAGACTTGTGTGTGCACAGCTTATCAGCATGCAACTCTGTGGATGATCTATGCAGAATACATAGATTCAACAGAACCTGAAAAGCAATATTTTAGTATTAGTCAGTGTACTTATCCTTCCCCATTCTCTTTTATAAGTATTACCTTAAATCTCCATCTCGTCACGACAACAAATTTCAAAGTGTGGTCCTTTCCCAAGATTTCCTCATTGCATAAAATGTCCAGCTGTGAATGGGAGATATAAGAATGCTGCATTTATTAACATTTCACTGGAAGGGAAATCCGCTTGGGAGATATAAGAATGCTGCATTTATTAACATTTCACTGGAAGGGAAATCCGCTGCACTGCATACAGAGAATAAATACCTTTAACCTTAGGGGTGGGTAATGCATGTGCTGTAACATCCACACGGTCAGAAACATGCACTTCTTTGATAACATTTTATAAATTGTCCTTCTGTTTCAGGCTTGAGGTCAACGTTGCCGTGCAACTCTAAAACGAACCCTCCAAACACCCCAGCTCTCCTTTTCCTCTCACTTTCACTCAGCATCAAAATATCTCAATTTCTTGGAGAGGAAACAAAGATAGCAAAGTATATTTGACGGTGAGCCATTAGCACCTTGCGCATGGGGGGCTTTTGGAAAAGCACAAAAACCTTATTTGTAGCCAATATGAATCAAAGACTTCCTCGCCAATCCACTCCTCCTCCGTGGATTAAACATTGATATTCTGTGAGGCGGCTGCCCGCACCTGCATTCGGCCAATCAATACTCTCCCCAACACAGACACTGAGGGGCTGAGGGGGAAAGGGGAGAGAGGAGGAGAGGAAGCCAGTGTGAAGCAGCACTGCCACAGCAGCACCTACTGGTAGCTGGCTGTTCCTTCTAACTGAGAAACATTGCTTTTGCCTTGATGTTTTTTACCTTGGTAACAGAGCTAAACCGTCTTGCCACAGCAAGAGTTACAGCAATAATAGACAACATGTATTAGAGTATTGATTCAGTTTTTATATTGTCATTAATAACATGAAAAATGGACACAATATCCAAAGATGTAGTTTTCCCTCTCCCCATGTGTACATGTGTTTGGGGGCTGGGGTGATGGCAACAAGTTTTAAAACTCATAAAAAATGATGATACACATGGTGTGGGTGATGCAACGCATTCAGCTCATGTGGTCTGCTGAAATATCAAGATGGATGCCCCAATTATCCTATAGATATAAATATAACCCAAGGGAAAGTGACGCGCTGTGCTATGACACAGCGGGGGCTGTTGACGTACACTTCCCGTATGTTTGATGTTGAAAATAGATTTTGAATGAAGAACAGCTCTTGATATTCAATAGACAACAATAGAGCAGCTGACAGCTGTATTGCGTCACGGACGTTGGTGAAGAAAACGTACGCTTTGAAGACATCCCACACGCACACACACACACACACACACACACACACACACACACACACACACTCCAGCCTAAAAGTTATGTCACACTCCCGCATACAGTTGTGACAGGCGACTCAAAATGACATGACAGAAAGCAAATTATATTACAAGGGCATATTTTCCACAGAATATATGGTGGATGGCAAAAGCTTTGTGAAGAATAATGACAGTGGAGAGAGAGGCTTTGATAGTGTATGTGATGAGGCATACAGATGCACCGCCTTGAAAGGACCAAGAATGCCTTGTTAAAAGTGATCATCTTTAAGTTTAAAGCGCAGAGGAAGGGCTTAAAGAGACAGCTAGTCAAAACTACATCTTGGGGCCTCCTTAAAAAGAGGTCCTTTATCACTGGACAAGCTCAAATTCGCCTGACTGCAGCAAAATCCCCCCTTGCCCTGAAGTGGGTTAGCCATACCTCATTAAATGATGTCAGGTTAAGCTTTTTGGCGATGAACTTCTTGAGGTGAAGGACCGTGGCTTGCGCCGAGCAGCGGATCCACTTGCGCTTCAGGCCGCGGAGCTTGCTGCTGTTGCACTCCAAACAGATGCTGACCTGAAGGAGCAAAGACAAATTAACACGCTTTTTCTTTTTAATGACTGAGGTGTAACATTAATTTTCCTTCCAGGCTTCTCAGTACTGTCATGAAGGCAGACCAGATGAACTATCCTAACTATCCTGTGCTGAAAATACTGTACATGAAAGTGATATCAACCACTACAATGAAAATACCATTCCACATGAGACTTGCTGTCTTCCATGGTGACTGTGTGCCATGGCATTGTCTCAATAAGCCAGGAGTTGGAGAGTGGCACACTTTTGGAGCATGGCAAACGAAGATGGTACCGCAGGTGGCTTGGCAAGTCTGTGCCTGAAGGAGTCACGTTGCATTACCAGCATCAGGACTCTCCCTCTGACTGGCACACAGACACAGACAAAGTGCCCTGGTAAAGCGGCTTATCATGCCATTTTCTGATGATTTCTGGGGACCCAGGGAGGGAGTAATAGAAACAGATAGTAGGCTGGTGGGAAGAGCTATAGGAGGACAGGTTCATTGTAATGGCTAGAACGGAATAAATGGAATGGAGTCAAACATGGTTTCCATACGTTTGATACCTTTCCATTAATTCCATTCCAGCCATTACAATGAGCCCGTCCTCCTAAAGCTCCTCCCACCAGCCTCCACTGTATTAGCACCACCATCTTTCTCCCTCAAACATCACCAGAGCCAGTAGAAAATAAGGCTCTCCAGAGTTCTGCTCAAATGTGGAAAGTCATCTGCGAATAAATACTCAGCAGCAATATAACCTATTGAAAGCAAAGACTGCTGTAAAGTGTAAAGACTGCAGTAAAGTGTAAAGACTGCTGTAAAGTGTAAATGGCTGGTTTTCAATGGAACAAGCATTGTGATGCAAATAAAGGCTTCCCATTGAGAGAGTGAGGCACTGAGAGTTAATGGTAATTTGGCAGCAGTCTTCGGGGCCGTTCCATTAGTGGAATCATTAGGGAACTGCCGAGCTGGTATGACTCGGAGCAAATTAACACAGTGTAACGCATTGAGTAAATGAAGGTCTTTGGAGCACCACCCCTTTTCACTCAACTTTTTGAGCTTTGTAACGAACAGCAGGCATCGATTACTTAAGGAAATAAAAATACATGACTTCATGGATTCAATGGCTTAGGGAGATGATTGAAAATGTTCCATTTATATTCCAGTTAAATAGTTATGTCCATATTTAGCGTCCCAAAATCACCATACAAGGTCGTGGAGTTATATATACAGTACCAGTCAAAAGTTTGGACACACCTACTCATTCAAGGGTTTTGTCTTTATTTGTACTATTTTCTACAGTGAAGACATCAAAACTATGAAATAACACATATAAAATCATGTAGTAACCCAAAAAGTGTTAAACAAATCAAAATATATTTTAAATTCTTCAAAGTAGCCACCCTTTGCCTTGATGACAACTTTGCACACTCTTGGCATTCTCTCAACCAGCTTCACTTGGAATGCTTTTCCAACAGTCTTGAAGGAGTTCCCACATATCCTGAGCCCTTGTTGGCTGCTTTTCCTTCACTCTGCGGTCCAACTCATCCCAAACCATCTCAATTGGGTTGAAGTCGGGGGATTGTGGAGGCCAGGTCATCTGATGCAGCACTCCATCACTCTCCTTCTTGGTCAAATAGACCTTACACAGCCTGGAGGTGTGTTTTGGGTCATTGTCCTGTTGAAAAACAAATGACAGTCCCACTAAGCGCAAACCAGATGGGATGGCATATCGCTGCAGAATGCTGTGGTAGCCATGCTGGTTAAGTGTGCCTTGAATTCTAAATAAATCACAGACAGTGTTTCCAGCAAAGCACCCCCACACCATCACACCTCCTCCTCCATGCTTCACGGTGGGAACCACACATGCGGAGATCATACATTCACCTACTCTGTGTCTCACAAAGACACGGCGGCTGGAACCAAAAGTCTCAAATTTGGACTCATCAGACCAAAGGACAGATTTCCACTGGTCTAATGTCCATTGCTCGTATTTCTTGGCTCAAGCAAGTTTCTTCTTATTATTGGTGTCCTTTAGTAGTGGTTTCTTTGCAGCAATTTGACCACGCAGTCTTCTCTGAACAGTTGATGTTGAGATGTGTCCGTTACTTGAACTCTGTGAAGCATTTATTTGGGCTGCAATCTGAGGTGCAGTTAACTCTAATGAACTTATCCTCTGCAGCAGAGGTAACTCTGGTTCTTCCTTTCCAGTGGCGGTCCTCATGAGAGCCAGTTTCATCATAGCGCTTGATGGTTTTTTCGACTGCACTTCAAGAAACTTTCAAAGTTCTTGACATTTTCCAGATTGACTGTCCTTCATGTCTTAAAGTAATGATGGACTGTCGTTTCTCATTGCTTATTTGAGCTGTTGTTGCCATAATATGGACTTGGTCTCTTACCAAATAGGGCTATCTTCTGTATACCACCCGTACCTTGTCACAACACAATTGATTTGATAAATGTTGCTTTCATGGATCTTCCTCCTTTCAGTTTCAGTGTTGTGCTGCTCTCATTAGCCTGCCTTGGCTTCCCTTCCCACCCCAAGGCCAACCTTTAGATGGTCACCCAGCTGACATGGCGGGAGAAGTCCAAAACCCAGCCATGCATGGCCTTCTCCTGCTGTTATTACTACTACCAACTAGGGTTGAGCGGCTGTTCAAAATTCTCACTTACAGTGAGGGAAAGAAGTATTTGATCCCCTGCTGATTTTGTACGTTTGCCCACTGACAAAGAAATTATCAGTCTATAATTTTAATGGTAGGTTTATTTGAACAGTGAGAGACAGAATAACAACAACAAAATCCAGAAAAATACACGTCAAAAATGTTATAAATTGATTTGCATTTTAATGAGGGAAATAAGTATTTGACCCCCTCTCAATCAGAAAGATTTCTGGCTCCCAGGTGTCTTTTATACAGGTAACGAGCTGAGATTAGGAGCACACTCTTAAAGGGAGTGCTCCTAATCTCAGCTTGTTACCTGTATAAAAGACACCTGTCCACAGAAGCAATCAATCAATCAGATTCCAAACTCTCCACCATGGCTAAGACCAAAGAGCTCTCCAAGATTGTAGACCTACACAAGGCTGGAATGGGCTACAAGACCATCGCCAAGCAGCTTGGTGAGAAGGTGACAACAGTTGGTGCGATTATTCGCAAAAAACTGTCAATCTCCTTCGGCCTGGGGCTCCATGCAAGATCTCACCTCGTGGAGTTGCAATGATCATGAGAACGGTGAGGAATCAGCCCAGAACTACACGGGAGGATCTTGTCAATGATCTCAAGGCAGCTGGGACCATAGTCACCAAGAAAACAATTGGTAACACACTACGCCGTGAAGGACTGAAATTCTGCAGCGCCCGTAAGGTCCCCCTGCTCAAGAAAGCACATATACAGGGCCGTCTGAAGTTTGCCAATGAACATCTGAATGATTCAGAGGAGAACTGGGTGAAAGTGTTGTGGTCAGATGAGACCAAAATCGAGCTCTTTGGCATCAACTCAACTCGCCGTGTTTGGAGGAGGAGGAATGCTGCCTATGACCCCAAGAACACCATCCCCACCGTCAAACATGGAGGTAGAAACATTATGCTTTGGGGGTATTTTTCTGCTAAGGGGACAGGACAACTTCACCCCATCAAAGGGACGATGGATGGGGCCATGTACCGTCAAATCTTGGGTGAAAGCCTCCTTCCCTCAGCCAGGACATTGAAAATGGGTCGTGGATGGGTATTCCAGCATGACAATGACCCAAAACACACAGCCAAGGCAACAAAGGAGTGGCTCAAGAAGAAGCACATTAAGGTACTGGAGTGGCCTAGCCAGTCTCCAGACCTTAATCCCATCAAAAATCTGTGGAGGGAGCTGAAGGTTCGAGTTGCCAAATGTCAGCCTCGAAACCTTAATGACTTGGAGAAGATCTGCAAAAGGAGTGGAACAAAATCCCTCCTGAGATGTGTGCAAACCTGGTGGCCAACTACAAGAAACGTCTGACCTCTGTGATTGCCAACAAGGGTTTTGCCACCAAGTACTAAGTCATGTTTTGCAGAGGGGTCAAATACTTATTTCCCTTATTAAAATGCAAATCAATTAACAACATTTTTGACATGCGTTTTTCTGGATATTTTTTTGTTATTCTGTCTCTCACTGTTCAAATAAACCTACCATTAAAATTATAGACTGATCATGTCTTTGTCAGTGGGCAAACATACAAAATCAGCAGGGGATCAAATACTTTTTTCCCTCACTGTATAAGCAGTGTTGGGGGTAATATGTTACAGTATTATATTACTTTTATGAGTAACGGAGTAATATAATAAGTTACTTATGTTCAAATATTGTACAATTATTGCAGTTACTTTTTCAAGTAACGTTACATTCAGAATCATATCTCTACCGGCATGTTATTCCCTCGGTTTCTTTACCTCTACATTTGTGCTCACCCTCCCTTCACATTTATCACTGTCAATCGTAAATGACAGGCCTATTCTTCAAGTTTTACCGGTAAAACGTCCATGCAGCATCTGCATGCCAACCATTTGATCTCAATCAGTTTCATGAGAATATGCATTTAGATCTTGAATGATGTAGCCTAAAGTGTTGTTTTGAATTGTGTAGGCCTACAGTGAGAGAATTGTAGAGCAGATGGTGTTAACAAACTGTAGCCTACCTGTGTTTAGTTTCAATCTATTTTGTCTTGTGGCACGCACTGTTGAGTTTTGGCTGTATGAGAGAAAAATCTGACCATTCGCACAATCATCTTACAATCTCATAAGAAATTGGTTGTTTTTTTGTTTTACAATAACGTTAAAGTAAGCTATTATATTTGGTTATATTACGTAGAACACTATCATTATGTGATCTTGCAGACATTCAGCATTGACCTAACTTTATTAAATGAGCACCATTCTCCAATCATGTTCTGAAATGCTGAATGGAGAAACGCTTGTAGCCTATATTGAATTGGAATTGTTCCACAAAGATACGTGAAAGAGGAGGCATTTCTACACATTATGATAATAACCAAAAATCCATAAATAATATTTCCAAGTGTTCTAACGTAATGTCCATATAAACAATAGAAATGTCTGATAAATGCAATTCAAAACGGCAAAAGAAATGTCTCTCATCACAACGAAATTCTATCTTGATAAATCTAACACATCAAAGGAATATTGGCCATTAACATTTGGCAGCTTTACGAAACAAAATATACATATTAAAGTCATTAAATACCGGCTATCAAGTCACAACAAGGCCGACTTCAAATGCTGACATCAAAATTCAAATAACCAGTGGATTAAATGACGGCAAATGCAAACTATGTCGGATAAATCCTATACATAATAACGCATTAAAATATAGAGCATAAAATCAAAGGGACTACTTATCAAGGACACAAACTCGACCAAACAAAGTCTCCTTCCTTCCTTCCTTTTCACTCACACTGTATTTTTCCTCTCCTCCACAATTTCTTAGCATCCATGTCATTTTAGCAGATTCTCTCATCCGCAGTGACCTATAGGCCTTCTATCTCGATCCTCCCCTCCACTGTCTCCTTTTCACCCTCTCCCATTCTCCCGTGTCTCACATGACACTTGACAGCAGTTCTCCCCTCCATGTATTCTGTCCACAAAGCCTAGCAACCCTATTAGCTATTCTTTCCACACTCCACACCTCTGCTGAATACCAAAAGAGTGGGACCTTTGACCTCTGGTGCAATCTCCCAGCCAAGTATAGAGGACGTGCTCCTTGGCTGGGTGTCGACACTGCGTGTTTTCAAAAACGTGTTGATATTTTCTTTATGGAGACAATAGCTACATGGTAAACAGCCAATCATCTGAAGCTATATAGTCGAGACGAGTGTGCGGCGGCTCTTTTCTGGAAATTACTGTTTGTGAATGCGACGGCGACAAGCAGAGACAATAAAAGCTCTCTCTGCATTATTGATATCATCCACAGGGTTGAGAATGTACTGGAATACAAATGAACATCAAGACAAAATTCATGTAAAACCCTTCCGTATTTTAAATTAACTGTATGTGCGTGCGGCATGCTGGGTTGTCTACTTGTTGATATATGACTCAAAACAACCATAGGCCTACCATGTAGTGAACTGGTCATTACAAAAGAGTTAACCTATAACCCAGGCGAATGTTTATGAGATTCCACTTGAGCAGACAAAGCGTGGGGCTCGTAATTTCATGGCACCCGGACACAGGAAATGAAAGATGAGATGACTCCTTCCTGTCCTGCAAGAAATGAAGACGGCGTGCGGTGGACGGGCACCTACCTGCTCGTCGCTGCGGTGATAATCGTTCTCCTCCTCCGGTTTCTCCTCCGCTGTTTCCTTATTTGCCGTGTCCTCTGTTTTCACCTCACCTGTTGTCAACCAATGAGAGAAGTGACAGTTAGTGGTCATAGAGAGCCTAATAAGCCTTTAGTTTAGTTGTCATCTACTGTATTCATCGTTTCAATGTTTTAACACATTAACAAATATTACTTCATACAGCCATGGCTCTATACACAATTACCATACAATTATGTGTGACTGACAAGAGTGGATCACTCGGAGTGTGTTTAACCTTTAATCTAGTGGACTGGACAAAATCGACTTTCATGCCTGCTCTCTTTATTAGCTAAACACAAGCAATGCTCATCTGATGGCAAGAAACAGGGCATGCTTCTTTCTAATTAACCAAATGGCCTGTATCTATCTGAGCACATCCATCCAATCCAGGGGGTCTTTTAATAAAGGCAAACTGATCTTTTACCATTGTGATTACAGGGGGGCTAAAATCAGACCTCTTCTCTGGTTTATTTGGCCTTGGGGAGAGATAGGGAGATTGAGATGGAGAGAGGTCATTATAAGGAGTAAGGGCCGACGGTCACTGGCAAGAGGAAGAGAGAAAAAAAGGCATATCCACACACCAGGATAGTTAAGCTGAGGAAAATAGGCTTGGAGCGGTTAGAGGGAGGCTAGCTCCTGTTAAATAAACCTGTTGGCTCCGGATGTTTAGTTCACTGTGATGGAAAAGACCTTGGGAGAGAGGGCCATGAGAATCTCACAATCCCCAGAGTTTTCAATTCCGGCCCGGTGAAGCGAGGGGCTGTTATCTGAGCTCAGTTGATTAGGTAGCCCCTTGTTTGTGGACAAACATTTTCTCCCTCTCTCTGATTGGCGATGGGACTGGGGCCCGCCCATCTTCTATTGTTCTCCCTTTGCTCTCCGCAGTACATCCCAGAGGGGATTGGCAGTGAGGCTTGAGAGCACTTTTGTACTGGCCCCAGCTCATCTCAAGAGTAAGCAGAGTGATTACTGTTCAAGTGAGGCCGAATTGGTTACGATTCAACTTCAGCCAACCTGAAAATAACTCAATGACACTAAGTATAAGGTGGACTTTGTTTCCATTTTGAGAACAATTCTAGGAATAGCACACTGATTTTATCAAGTCTTACAAACAAGAAACTAGTGGGCTAATCTGAATACTATATGTCACAGAACATCTTATTTTTCATTAGCATTAGCTTCTACATAGCATAGAGTATTGTTTACCATCTAAAAACCACATTTGTCTTCACAGAGGACATTGTCGTAAAGAGCCAGCATGTAAAATACTAATGTGATTCTTCACATAAGTGGGTCTTTATGGAGACCTTGGCATTAATGCACACTGAGTGTACAAAACATTAGGAAGACCTGCTCTTTCCATGACATAGACTGACCAGGTGAAAGCTATGATCCCTTATTGATGTCACTTGTTAAATCCACTTCAATCAGTGTAGATGGGGAGGATACAGGTTAAATAAGGATTTTTAAGCTTTGAGACAATTGAGACATGGATTGTGTATGTGTGCCATTCAGAGGGTGAATAGGCAAGACAAAATATTGAAGTGCCTTTGAACGGGGTATGGTAGTAGGTGCCAGGTGCACTGGTTTGAGTGTGTCAAGAACTGCAACGCTGCTGGGTTTTTTATGCTCAAGAGTTTCTCGTGTGTATCAAGAATGGTCCACCACCCAAAGGACATCCAACCAACTTGACACAACTGTGGGAAGCATTGGAGTCAACATGGGCCAGCATCCCTGTGGAACGCTTTCGACAGGGTTGGGCGGTATGCAGATTTTCATCTCGTCATGCAGTCCTTCTCTCACCACGGGATCTACGGTATTACCGATTTAGTACACAAGTGGGCACGAAAAAACGCTAAAAAAGCCCATTGGGCATCTATTACCAGAATGCTAACAAAATCAGCACAAGTAATAGCAAATTTGCATGGAGGCTGCTAGCTAAATATGCTAACGAGGGCAAATGAAAATACACAAATTGCAAAGATAGGCAATCCAGTTCATAAAGTTATACATATATAGGTAGGAGCTACCAAATGTCATTTTTGGTGAGTTTGGACATTTACAAGCGAATGTGAACTAGAGACATTGTGCAAATGAACAAAGTTTTGACGCATGCAGTACTGGCTCTCCAGCAGCATGTCTACACACTGTGTCTGTGTGGACTGTGAAGTCTGGAGTCGCTAGGGCAACGGGCCTGCCTGCTCTGCTCAGTGAAGAGGGGGGAGGAGCAGACAGGCCGAGAACGGAGGAGAAAAAAACATAAGGAAATCAATATCCGTGGCAGCTGTACAAATAACTCATCCAAAGGGCTTTGACTTCTCAAACAAGACAGAAAGCTTACACAATATGATGCCCCGTCACCTTATTAATTCAGCCACTTACTTAGATAACGAGTTAAATTTAGGGGTTGTGTTAACACATAATTCTGCGTTTTTCACAAAGGAAAAAAAGATAAAACACATAAGAAATATCTTGCTGCGTTTTGTGAACACCGATCTAAAATGCTTCTTATTGTAATTTCTGCTCGGCATCAGACTAATTTCAGTTGCAAATGAGAATGCAAATGAGAATTCATGAACAGGCATTCTATCAGCAGACATCGCTCTGACTGATGTGTAGCTACTTCCTCCCCGGTACCTTTCTCGGTATGGTAAGCCCATTTTTCTCAGGTAAAATGCAAGATTAACTCTAAGCAAAACATTAAGAAATGTAGTTGGCTACATTCTTTCTATAGGCCTATAACATGAGAAATATGATGGCCATGCTTCGTTTAAGCTAAAAAAAGACCTTGCTTTTTCATTATAAGCTAATTTACTTGTCTGGCTGCCAGCCAAATAGCATTGCACTTCTGTTGTCATCTGATAAAAATGATGCTATTTTATTTAGAATGTGTTGCACTAATGTATTTAATGTGGAGGAAAACTATAGTTGCACGTCCCTGATCACAAAAAACACAGTTGACTTTCAAAATAAAACGCGAATCGTCAATACACAGTTCGAATCACCTGGTCCCGCTTTCTCCTGTTGTGCTATTTACAAACAAACACGTGACTTGCTCAACTGTGCTGGGGAACTAAGTAAGCTTCATAATATAAAATCCTAACGCATTGCACAAGTTGACTGCAGGTATTTACTTAAAACATTGCTACAAATATGAAAATGTATTGAAAAACGTTCAAAGAAATAGTTTCAACAGAATTGACGGTATTGAAAAAACATCCTGTGGCTATTTCCAAACATCTCGGTATACTGTATATACGGTGTCCCGCCCAAGCATACTTTCGACACCTTGTCGAGTCCATGCCCCAACGAATTCAGGCTGTTCTGAGGGCAAAAGGGCGTGCAACTCAATATTACGAGGGTGTTCCTAATGTTTTATACACTCAATGTATATGAGAGAGAATGAAAGAGAATGTTAGAGGATGAGAGAGAGAGAGGGGTGGGGGGAAACAGAGATAACAAGTAAGAGAGAGAGAGAACACGAGAGAGAGAGAGGAATAGACAGAAATAAAATGAGAGTCAAAGCCACTTTTTGCGGTCTTGAAGTGAAGGTGCCATTATAGAAGCTGTCCATTAGCACACTCATGTCATTCCCCACTCTGGGGTTTGGCTCTCAGGAAATCTGGGAGCAGGAGCTGTCGCCTGTCGTTAGCCAACGAGCTCCACACTATTTCTGTTTTGCTGGGCAGTGAGTGAAGACAAGGGTACCATTTCTGCCAGGATTCTGTTTAAACGACCTCGTAAGGATGTTAGCCACGGCTCAGCCCAACAGCGGGGAGGGGGAAGTGCGAGAGCAGTTCCACTTCTATTTGAGCGTTAATTACAATAAATCAGAAAGGGTATTAAGCGACCAATTAGGCCTGCTCTGTGATGATCCTCTGGGCATGCGTTTACACATCATTGTCGGGCTGGGTCGCAACGCCGCCGTGCTTTACAAGCGCCGCCACTTTCTCACTCTGATTCGGCTGGGCTGAATCCAGGAAAGAGGTGATACTAAGTAGGGAAAATAGAGGGGGGATGGTGTGTGTGCATAGGCTCTGGCTGGCAAGAGCGGACCGTACCATTGCGCTGAGGATCTAGATGTTGTTTCATGCTGCAAAGCTCTCCTTTGATGTCCCCGGGCACTTCCATTCCCAGCTTCTGATAGAAGTCTCTCAGTTTTTTTATCTCCGCTGCAGGAGGGGATAAGGGAATGAAAGAGAAAGGGAGAATTAGGGCCTTGCTTTGGCTGAAGGTGACTGTCACTAGGGCTTCTTTAAATGTGATGGCATACTGTATGGAATAGGATTTCTCTCATTACAGTCTGTCAGATAAATCAATAAAAGTTGAATCCTTCATAGATATTTCAGGGCTATGTGCTTTGGGATGTTTGTTATTCAGTTATTCAGCCACAATCTCACTGAAAAAATAGATTAAAGGCCAACTGTGTTTGGTTTGGAAATGTGTATGGGCAGATTCAAATGTTATTATTTTTGGTGAGGGGACGAGTAAGGAGAGAAACCAGGGTGAGAAACTTACCCTCTTGTAGTCCCGGCACCAACTTGTAGACAATGTCTTGCATTGTTCGGTCATGGCTAAAGGAAAGAGAGATTTAAAAGAATTAGAAATCTGACAATGCTACATTTATTATCACTAATTGCTGATGACATGTTGTACCATGCTTATTCTGTGTCTTGTTTGAAAATATAGCCTTTAATGATATATATGCAAAACATACACGCTTCCTTAATGTCAGCAGCACATGCTTCTTGACATTCAGAATTCCCATGTTTACCATAAAACTGCATGAATGACATCAAAACACAGCACATTCGTCCACTACCCAGTTGTGACCACCGCTTTGTATTGCAACACCTGGGCCTGCAGTGTGATTAGTGGAACCCAGTGAGGTGTGTTGCACCAGAACCCTGGAAAGACGTGGTGTTTCTTCCGTCTGGAGTGAAAATCATACTCTCTATCCTGCACTGAAGACCATAATTTGCTGATTTACTCCCCCCTGAGGCAGGTCAGAGCCGACCGCTTACCACTGCGGTGGCCAAACTCTGCTTCGCCCAAACACAGCAAGCGCCGACACCTTTTTGACAGGGCCCTTGATGCACGCGGGTGTGGGGGTGGATCGAGGCTCAATTAGCTTTCGCTTAAATATACAATCTGAAAGATTCCCTAATGCTCGTTGATGATTTTGGCTCCTCCTAGTTTTTCTGAGAATAAGACTTATCATGAATCTTTCAAGTTTTATTAGTTTTGAAACTTGAAACATTCATGATAAGTGTATACAAGCTTATCTTAACCGCAAAATGATGTATGACTAGAAATGTGGTTAGATTGCTTGTGTGTTCATCCTCTCGGCAACAGGCAGTAGTAGTAGAAGTACTAGTTTTCTTTATCTCTGCCTCTCACACCTAGTTTGAACCTGTTCATAGATTTTTGTTTAGAATTTTTTATATATCATTAATCTGTTTAAATGTTTTAGTTTGGCACATTTATGAGCTTTTATTTTCATTTGAACAAACAACTACTCTGAGGGAAATGAAGAGAGCAGTGCATTTGAAATGTGTTTGAAATCGGCCTTTCCATAAAAATAGGGACATTTTTCTGGGCTGCAAAATGCTTATGACTAAATAGCTGGTAGACACTTCATTGGCTGCACTATTAATCAGACACTACTGCACAGATGGACAACAGAGTCCCTTTACTTTGTGTGAATGTGTGTTTTTGGTTTGACTATCCAGAAGTCCTCACAAGGATAGTAAAAAGGCTATTGTAGGCTTGGGTTAGGTTTAGGGTTAAGGTTACAATTAGGGTTAGAATTAGGGTTAGGTTTAGGAGTTATGGTTAAGGTTAGGGGTAGTTTAAGGGTTATGGTTAAGTTTAGGGAAAATAGGATTTTGAATGGGAATCAATTGTTTGGTCCACACAAGGATAGTACAACAAATGTCTGTGTGTGCGTGCGTGCGTGCGCACATGCGTATTTAAGCAAATATGCATGTATGTATTTATTTAATTCGAATATTCATGTTGTTTTGTTTTCCCCCTCCGCTCCCCTCTCCTTTGACAGTATTGTTTTTGGACAGTGCTGCTGCCCCGTAGTGGTGGCTCTCTAATCTACACACTGATGAAACAACTGAGCTGGTAAGGGGAAGGTGGTTTGATATCCAGGCTACCTACTCACCCGATGTACTGCAGTGGATGGCTCTGGTGAATGACAATCCTGCATGTGGGACAGGTGTTGTTCTCCTCCAGGTACTTCACTAGACAGCTTCTGCAGACTGGAAGACACACAGAGAGAGAGAGACATGTCAATCACATGATGAGCATTATGGGTATCTTGTTCTACTATCTTTTTATGTTCTAAAAAAGTGTTGCTTTTTTGAGAGACCAGCCTTGCTATGATGTGTCGGATAGCTATGCGGACATGATGTGAGTCTCTCTGTTTAATCTCTGAGGGGGGGTGAGAGAAAGTCATTTCCACCTGAGGATTGCGATTGAAGCTCTCCACTCTACATTGACATTTGGTCAACTAGGACTTTCCATGTATGGTACAATGGCGCCCTCTAGGGCATGACTGACCTATTACATTACTTGCACTGCCGCTGACATTCACTCAAAGACTTCTCCATCTCTTCTACGACTAGGCCTACTTTGTGGGGGAGGGTTGATTGATTGTTGTGATAATTTAACTTTAATGAGACAACAAAAATATCTATTGTTGTATGAAACCATATGCATGGAGCCTTCATAAAGATACAAGATCAGTGTTACTATGTGAAGAATGTGTTTCTGTGTATGAGTGCATGCTTGTGTCATCAGCAGGTACTCACAGGTGTGTAAGCACTCCGTGACAGTAGTGGCGTCTATCAGGTACCCCTCGCACAGGCGACAAGTGATGTGGGCGTTGATGTCCCACAGCTTGATTTTCCTGGTTAGCATCTCGGGGTTCTGGGGAGAAGAAGGACAAACAATTCAAGTTGTTCTGTTTTGTGTATTTTGTACATTCTAACGGTAACCTCTCAATTCACTTTCAACAAAAGAATACAGGATAAAGACACATGTCAACTGTCCAACTCATTGGTTTCAAGGTCATGCAGAGTACCTACAGTACATCAGCTTTGTATCGAGAGAGAGTGACAGACAGACATAGACAGAGACAGAGAGAGGCAAAGACATGAAACTCTATTCATGGTAGGTGCTTGTTTTGGCTTACCCCTAATGCCGCCATGTGTTGACTGAGGATGATTTGGCAGCCACGTCTCTTCCTGCAGGCACGTGGTGGTGTTAGCTCCGCATCATGGATGCCCTCTCATGTGGCTAGGGGAGAACACAGACAACAACATAGTCAGAATTAATTGTGCTCTACAGCAGTGGTGGTTCCCCAAAGTTCCTTGTGCCATGATGAACCAACAAAGACCCTCCAGATGAATAAAACAGTGTTTCTAGCCCATGGTCCTCCAACCCTTATCCTGGAGAGCAGTGTTACAGGTGTGGAACAAAAGCCTGCACACACCCAGTAACTCTCCAGGACAGGAGTTGGAGAGGCTTTTCAAGCCTTAGCCTTATCATGAACTAACCCAAAACCAGACGAATATTGCAGTACAGAATAAATCTGTCTGATCTCAGGCTTATCTACAGAACTCAAATGAACCTGGGATGTACTGACTATGCACATACAATTGATAAAAAGTGCATTCATATCTGAAACATCTTAAACAACATTTACACAATGAGACCATTGTATGGAGTGGAGATGGCCCTGAATTCATTTAACAAAATAAGAACCAGAGACATATTTAAAGTAACTTTACATCCATCAAAGACCCCAAAGCCTAAAAAAATAAACAACAAAAGGTGGTGTCCCCACATGACTCAAGGATTGACGTATTGCAGTACTTAGTCAATCTATTAGACATAGGTCTAGAGATTCATTACTCGTCCGAGGCAGACCGCTTTGAGCTCTTAGACTTGGCTCCCACCACTCGCACCACTTTTAATTTGCCTCTTGATCCTAATTGTGCATTCTCTTTTACTCTGTCTTGGACAATAAGAGTCTGCCTGTGCTTTTGTTTGCTCACCAGATCATGAAATTAGCCCACTTACTCCATTGAGATGAGGGAAGGAGGGCTGCTGAGGATGTATTAGAGCCCTAGCATGCACTGTTTGGGTTCAAACTTGGGCTGCATACAAAATCATGTATCAGAGTTGTTGTAACAGTTGCCACACTGTCGGAGTTGAACAAGTGCATTCAGTTGCAGAGCACTTGCAAGTGCGTTGACAGGACGTGTGTTTACCTGCCTTATCAACATGACCCAGTGTTGTAACCCTGTGTTTTGTTTACTACTGGATCCATCATCAGACTCTACTTATTTTGACGTCAGTGAAATCTTGTTCGACTCCGGACCAAGCCTCTTCAGATTCAGAAAACTTTAATGTTCTCAGCGAGGCAATTCATTTTGCAGCAGTCGTAAAACATATCACACATAAAAATAAAAATAAAATAGCAAAGGATATTTACAAGCAAATAGGCAGGGTAAGTGCAGTGTCATAGTGCAAGTGCTAAGTGCAATTAGTCCAACATTTTGTTAAGTTGCAGAATTGCATTCGGAATAAAAGAGTACTTAGCCCTATTTTTTTTTTTACCTTAGGTAGTTTGTACCTGCGGCCAGCGGGAAGGAGCTGGAATTCGGGGTGGAGTGGATGGGAAAAGTCAACCGCTATTTTATTCGCCTTCTGGAGGGCTCTGCCCAGGTAGAGAGATGACAGTTCTTGCTGTTGCTGCCCCATGATTTTCTCGCAAGTCCTGACTATCTTGCCCAACCTATTTTTCTGTGCAACCTTGATATTCCCTAACCAGCTGGTCAAGCAGTAGGACAGAATGCTCAATTAATGGTTTATAAAAGAGAACCATGATGGTTAGATCAACATAAAAAAAGTGCAGTTTCCGTAGGAAATACAGTCTCTGTTGGCCTTTCTTAAAAATAGCGTCAGTACAATGATTCCAGGACAGCTTGTTGTCAATGACTAGCCCAAGGTATTTGTAAACCTCCACTATTTCAATGGGCTCACCTTTTATCAGTGATGGTGTGTGCATAGTAGTGTTCCTTCGAAAGTCAATCACCATGTCCTTTGTTTTTGATGTGTTTCATTTCTGATGGGATGACTCTTACAGAGACAATTGAACAAGAGGGCTTCATTAATGAATGTGCGACAATTCAAAGTTGCTAAGACGATAAACTGTCATAATCAAGATGACAAGTTTTCCATAACATTTTAAAAAGGTAACGAAGGTTTGCTTTCACCTGCAGGTTCCTCATTCAACACGACACAGGATGACTCAGTGCATCACATTGACACACCATTGGCAAGGCACTCTAGCCAATCTAACCAGTCTAGAGTGAATGCTTGTCCAAATACTGTAGGTCTGCATGAACTAAGCCTATAACTATTGTCCTCCTTAATGCACAGGCAATGTGATTGATGCTGGAACTGAAATTAGTGTGGTAGAGATGACTCATGGAGGTTGAGCTATGGTGTTTTCAATTGGTCTTTTCTATTCAGAATATTAACACTGTATTGGAGTTGCTAATGAATAAAGCTGTTCGTCTCGGGACATCACGTCATTGTACAGTCGTGGTCAACATTTTTGAGAATGACACAAATATAAATTTTCACAAAGTCTGTTGCCTCAGTTTTTATGATGGCAATTTGCATATACTCCCAGAATGTTATGAAGAATGATCAGATGAATTGCAAAGTCCCTCTTTGCCATGAAAATGAACTTAATCCCCAAAAAACATTTCCACTGCATTTCACCCCTGCCACAAAAGGACCAGCTGACATCATGTCAGTGATTCTCTCGTTAACACAGGTGAGAGTGTTGTAGAGGACAAGGCTGGAGATCACTCTGTCATGCTGATTGAGTTAGAAGAACAGACTGGAATCTTTAAAAGGAGGGTAGTGCTTGAAATCATTGTTCTTCCTCTGTTAACCATGGTTACCTGCAAGGAAACACGTGCCGTCATTGCTTTGCACAAAAAGGGCTTCACAGGCAAGGATATTGCTGCTAGTAAGATTGCACCTAAATCAACCATTTATCAGATCATCAAGAACTTCAAGGAGAGAGGTTCAATTGTTGTGAAGAAGGCTTCAGGGCGCCCAAGAAAGTCCAGCAAGCGCCAGGACCGTCTCCTAAAGTTTATTCAGCTGCAGGATCGGGGCACCACCAGTGCAGAGCTTGCTCAGGAATGGCAGCAGGCAGGTGTGAGTGCATCTGCACGCACAGTGAGGCGAAGACTTTTGGAGGATGGCCTGGTGTCAAGAAGGGCAGCGAGGAAGCCACTTCTCTCCAGGAAAAACATCAGGGACAGACTTATATTCTGCAAAGGTACAGGGATTGGACTGCTGAGGACTAGGGTAAAGTCATTTTCTCTGATGAATCCCCTTTCCGATTGTTTGGGGCATCCGGAAAAAAGCTTGTCCGGAGAAGACAAGGTGAGCGCTACCATCAGTCCTGTGTCATGCCAACAGTAAAGCATCCTGAGACCATTCATGTGTGGGGTTGCTTCTCAGCCAAGGGAGTGGGCTCACTCACAATTTTGCCTAAGAACACAGCCATGAATAAAGAATGGTACCAACACATCCTCCGAGAGCAACTTCTCCCAACCATCCACGAACAGTTTGGTGACGAACAATGCCTTTTCCAGCATGATGGAGCACCTTGCCATAAGGCAAAAGTGTTAACTAAGTGGCTCGGGGAACAAAACATCGACATTTTGGGTCCATGGCCAGGAAACTCCCCAGACCTTAATCCCATTGAGAACTTGTGGTCAATCCTCAAGAGGCGGGTGGACAAATAAAAACCCACAAATTCTGACAAACTTCAAGCATTGATTATGCAAGAATGGGCTGCTATTAGTCAGGATGTGGCCCAGAAGTTAATTGACAGCATGCCAGGGCGGATTGCAGAGGTCTTGAAAAAGAAGGGTCAACACTGCAAATATTGACTCTTTGCATAAACTTAATGTAATTGTCAATAAAATATTTTGACACTTATGGAATGCTTGTAATTATACTTCAGTATACCATAGTAACATCTGACAAAAATATCTAAAAACACTGAAGCAGCAAACTTTGTGAAGACCAATACTTGTGTCATTCTCAAAACTTTTGACCACGACTGTATATTGATGCAAAAACATGTCCTTAAAACACAATGTGAACATCCTGAGTGAACCCTCAGTTTTTCTGTCCTAGGAAAGATAATAGATTCCAGATAGTTTTTTTTTGCAGATCATGAATCTGAGAACATTGATATTTTATGACAAAACATTTTACAAAGGTGCAGCATTCTGGGGGATTCTCATGAAACTAGCACAATATTTCATCTTGGATCACTAAGATTAAGATCTATAGTTACAGTGCCTTCAGAAAGTATTCATACCCCTTGACTTATTCCACATTTTGTTGTGTTACAGCCTTAATTCAAAATGGATTAAATAGTTTTTTTCTCTCTCACACATCTACATTATAATGACAAAGTGAAAACATGTTTTTCGAATTCTTTGCAAATTTATTGAAAATGAAATATGCAAATATCTAATTTACATACACTACCGGTCAAAAGTTTTAAAACACCTACTCATTCAAGTAAAAAAAAAAAACTATTTTCTACATTGTAGAATAATAGTGAAGACATCCAAACTATCAAAAAATAAAAATAAAAAATAAAAAGTGTTAAACAAAACAACAAATATTTTATATTTGAGATTCTTCAAATAGCCACCCTTTGCCTTGATGACAGCTTTGCACACTCTTGGCATTCTCTCAACCAGCTTCATGAGGTAGTCACCTGGAATGCATTTCAATTAACAGGTGGGCCTTCTTAAAAGTTAATTTGTGGAATTGCTTTCCTTCTAAATGCGTTTGAGCCAATCAGTTTGCTTATT